AAGATCCATTTGATCTTGGCAATAAACTCTAGCACCATGACCTCTTCTAAACCCAGCTTGTCCACCCATTATTAATTTTGCTATTGTACACATTTTAAGCAATATATAATCTCTAAATGAGGATAATTATCAAGTCATACTTAAGGCTAACATGATACAAGTTACATACATACAAACAAAAATATACTAGCCATGTTGACTTACACACACACACACACAGAGACACACACTTACAATAAAACAAATAAGATCCAATAAAAAATAATATCTTCATTTCTGCAACTGGCTGCATGATCAGAGCTGGTATTTAGAACTATCTTCTTCCACAAACTATTTTACATTCCATTTTTTTCCTAGCAACACCTTGACTTTGCCCAATGAGGTAACCCAAACCTTCATTCCTGAAGGGTCTGAGACATCAGTAGTAATCAGTAGTAATGGACCTGCAACTTCAAGTCCTGCTCCAGCCTGATTATATTTATACCACTTCATTTGATGACAGAGTATCACTGCATGCGTCCAACTTTATGACTCTGTATTTCAGACAACACTCAGTTCATGATGGGCAGCTCAAACACCTGATGATTTGGTAACCAAAAACAATTTCACAAAAGGAGATTAGTAATCTTTTGAGAATGGCAGAGCTTTGGTCCAAAATAATCAGGATCTGTTCTGTGTTATTTACCAACAGGGGCTTACCAACCAGCTTGTCTATCTCCATTAACACTACAAGACCACTGGATTACCCAGATAATATGGTTTAAGTGTTAGAGCAGCTTACATGACGTCCTGAATTTACAGCACAGCCTTCGAAGCCCCACCCTAAGTGAGCAAGCTTTTTCAGTCACTTGACAAATATAGTTCAGAGTAGCACACCCAAAAGAGGAATTTTGTTGCTTTCAAAATCTAAAAAGATCCAGCAAGTTTTTTACTTCCCTGTTAGTTGTACGGGAGGCCAGATATAATAACTTATTTTTCACTATGGAAGGAATATGACCCATACCACTGTACCTTTAGAAGTTTCAGTGAAGTGGACAGTGCTTGAATTGTTAACAGGTTAATATTCCACCCTATAGCATACAGATATCTACCTAATAGGTCTAAAGTCATTGATACTTCTTCCTTTCAAGAATAAATCAGTATGAAATCATCAATATAATAATGGACCACTACTGTATTTTGTGGAAAGGAAAAAACAATCAAAAGCTTTTGGACTATAGTATAATAAAGGATTGGAAAGTTGATATACCTCCGGGCTAGCGCAGTAGAAGTCGTTTGCTGATCTTGCAAGCTAGACAAACAGCTTCTGGTTATCCTTTGAAATTAGACTTGAGAGAAAAACACTGACCAGAACAATAGCTACATACTAGTTGCTAGAAAGTATATTCCTTGTATCACCAATTAAAGCACATCTGGAACAATTGTAGTTACTGTCTTGTTAACTATGACCTTCTTTGTTTTTGTACAGACCAAATAGGGAAGTTAAATGGGGATTTAACTTGGTGAGAATTGCATCCTTTAAGACCTTGACAGTGGCTCTAATCTCTGAAATCCCTTCAAGAATATAGCATTGTGTTGGTTTACTACATTCCAAGGTAGGAACAGTTCTAATGACTCCCATTTGGCTTTTCCAGCCCTTATGTTTCACATCAGGTAGTCAATACATGCATTCTGTCATTTGGCAAGTGTGTCTGTCCAGTTATGCATTCTGCAAATAGAGAAGTCACTACAGAATGAGTTCAGGAACCCATTTGACCCACTGTGAGGTAGACATGAGCTAAACCTCCCTTTGTAACCTGATCTCTACATGCCCCTACAGTCACTAGTAGGCCACAATGACATTTTGGGACTCCTGAAATTAGTGTCAAGTAAAAAATCAATATCCACTGTTACAAAAACGGGATGGTTATGGTGGCAGGGATGGAAAGAGTAGGAAAGCAATGGACAGATAACACTCTATTGGAATAGGTCACTCTGAAAGGAATGGACCATTAGACATTATGTGTATTACAATCTTAAACAGAACAAGCATTATAGATTGTATGAGGAAGTAGGGAGGAAAATGTGTATAAATCAATAAATGAAAAAGCAATTTCTTCTAAATGTTTATTAAAACCACCATTTTAAAAAGAGAAGCAAAGAAAACAAACAGTGACAACAAAAACCCAATATCCATTAATTATCAACAATTCTGATTCTTTATCTTTCCCCAATGAACAATCATTCTAGCTTTAGGTACCTTTGGGGGCAAAGTAGAAAAAAGACTAAGAGGATAGTTTGGAGAAGGGCGCTTTCGTGACTTAATAGCAAGGAGGTGCCCTGCAGATCAAAAGTATCAGCTGCTCCAGGGGAGAAAGAAGGCAGTCTCCTTCTATGTGATTTATCCCTCTGAAAACCCACTGATGGGACAGCTATGAGTTGATTCTAACTCAAAGATACATAACAACAACAGCAACATAAATTTTGGTAGTAAAGGAACCTGATTCTCCTTCATTCTGGGAGTTCAGGATCGGTCAGCTGGATCCAGTCAGAGAATTAATTGAGAGGTCATGACTCTATTCTGATTACTTGAGCTCGAATGACATTCTCCTGACCTAGTTCTACCACTTATACATATCATGTGAATATTTAGCAGACTTTACATCTATCTCACTTCTAGGGATACCATTCTTAAGTAGCCAACCTACATCATGTTGTTGTTGATGTTGTTGTGTGCTATTGAGTTAGAACCAACCCCCAGTCCACCCTCCAGCAGGTTTTCTGAGGCAGTTAATAGCACAGGAGATTGCCCATCCTTCTCCTGCCAAGCTTGTGGATTAAAACTGAAGGCCTCCGCGATTGCAGCACAGTTTCTTACCATTAGGCCATCAGAGATTCCTAACTGACATTATAAGCTCATAAAAGTCAGAGTTCTCTGATTACTGCTTGGACTCTGTTATGCCTAACTTGTCTTGATTGATTAAGTGCCACTAGAAGGCCCCAACCACCACCAGGTTACATCAGCCCATTGTAATGACATGTCTTAATTCAGTTAAGGCAGGTCTCATGGTCAAATCTGACTTACATAAATATACACAATCACAGGAATGTTAAAGGATGCTGGAGCGGCCTTCAAAAATGTGTTCTTCAATATTGTGATAAAAGTGCATCCTCTGGGCACTTACTGGCAGAGTTAGAGAGATTTGTAACACTTTCTCAAGTATGGCAGAGGCCAAAGTGCTGAGGGCAGTGAGAGATGGGCCTCAGCTATAAGCTTAGCTATAAGTACAGTGAAGAAGAAGTTGTCCCTACTATAATCTGAGTGGTTTCTGATCCCAAATTATAACCCCTTACTTTCCTACTAAGAATCATGATAGATGGAGAAAAGATCGAAACTATCAACAACTTCATCTTATTTGGATCCACAATCAACACCCTTGGCACCAGTGGTCAGATGCATTGCACTGGGAAAGTCTGCAGTTAGGGACCTCTCCAAATTATTGAAGAGTAATGATGTCAGTTTAAGGACTAAGGTACATCTGATTCTGGCCATGGTCTTTCCAATCACTGAGAGCTAGACAACGAATAAGCATGACAGAAGATGAATTGATGCTTTTGAGCTGTGGTGTTGGAGAAGAGCACTGAGCATCCCATGGACTGCCAAAAGAACAAAGAAATATGTCCTGGAGAAAGTGCAGCCAGAATGCTCTTTGGAGGCAAGAATAATGAGGCTTTGTTTCACACATTTCGGGCATGTTGCTAGGAGGGGCTATTCCTTGGAAAGGGACATGACGATTGGAAAGGCAAAGGACTGGCAAAAAAGGAGAGAAAGACCTTCCACCAGGTATATTGACACTGCCGCAGTGGGCTCTACTGTGTCAGGAAGTATGAGGATGGCACAGGATAGGACAAAGTTCAGATCTGTTGTTCATAGGGTCACCATGTATCATACTCGACTCAATGACACCTAAAAACAACTTTCCTACTATACCTTACCTCCAATGTCTTATACTTTAGATTGGGTTCTCTAGAAAAGCAAAACTAGTGTAGAGAGAAAAATAGAGAGACGTTTATCTCAAGGAAATGACTCATGCTGTTGTAGAAGCTAGAAAATCACAAATCCATGGGTCAGTCTACAGCCATACCACCCTGAATATGTCCAATCTCATCTAATCTCAGAAGCTAAGAAAGAAATACTTGTCTTGAATAGTAGTTGGATTTGGATATCAAGTCCATGGGTCAGGCATCAGACTGGAGGCTTCCTTAAGTAGCTTCAAAGGTTGATGAACTGAAGCAAGTGAGATGGCATATAGGCTGCAGAGACCAACGAACTCAAGATCAAGAGGTAATATTGCAGGCCACTGATTCAAGCTCCATGAATTGGAAGATAAAGTATCATGAGATGAATGTTGGATCAAGAGCAAGGAGAAGCCAGTAAGGTTTTCCAGAATGTCCATAGCTACTGGAACAAGTCATATACCTGAGGAAACTTCTATTACAACTTTTTGGTTGAGCACATCAAATGACACTATGATTGATCATATCAGACTATATATCACAAAGCAAAGGATAACTACATTATTACATAACTGCCAAACCACATGGCATAAAGGCCCAGCCACTAAGAATCATGGCCTAGCTAAGTGGATGTTGTTGTTGTTGTTAAGTACCATCGAGTCGCAGGCGACTCATAGTGACCCTATAAAGGAGAGCAGCCTTAATCACCACACATCCCTAAGTGAGCTAAATCACTCATTGTCCCATGCTCAAGTATGTATTCAACAAAGTGATTAAATTAATATATTGAATTGATGATTTGCAATCCTGATATTGAGACTAGAAAACCCAGAATAAAGAAAGGAATCTCAGGGAAAAGTACTTGTAGAAATATGGGTAAATTTATATTTCTGTTTGTTTTGTATTAAATACCACTCCAGTTCACAAGAAAGTCCTTTATACACATGATATTTTAAAATAAGAAGAAAAACATTTTAAAAATCATGGTAATAATAGTAGCTTACCCACAACTCGTTCCATTCGTCACATTCTGGTTGAGGGAGTTGTTGACCCACACTATGGTGTTATTTACACATTCTTTTCCAGGGATCTTGAGTTCTTGTAATTCATTGTCATAGTTAATAAAAACATCTGTCATTGAGCCAAAAACGAGTATCATGACTGGCTGGGCCACTCCATGTAAAAATGCACAGAAACTTCCCACAAACATCAGCCAGATTTCAGTCGATGAAGAAAATCGAAACTTGAAAAATAAAGGATTCAAAAATCATCTATGGGTGAAAAGCAGGAGAAGTAGGAGGACTATTTACTTTAAGTACTATGTTTGATAAAGGGTATCCAACAATACATTTTTGGGGAAATCATCTTGATTGAACAGTAAAGGTCACACAAATGTAATAGAAATTAATTATATACTCATTATTTAAAATATTAGACTTCTGTATTATTAAGAGTTCTGGTGGCATACTCCAGAGTATGCTATACTGCTAACCACAAGGCCATGTGTCTCTAGCTGCTTGAATCCACCAGCAAAAGATAGGCAGTCTCATTCCATTAAGATTTATCACTGTAGATACCTGATAGAATGAGACCAAGAGTCAGTCAGAACTGACTCTCATAAGGCAAAGAGTTGATTCCATGAGAACTGATTGCTATGGTTGTAGTTCTTCTTGTTGAGTACCATCGAGTCATAGTTGACCCGCCAGTGGGTTTTCAGAGGCAGTTAACTGAGTGAGAGGAGAGTGCCCATCTTTCTCCCACAAAGCAGCTGGCGGATTTGAACAAGATGCCTTTGAGTTAGCAGAACAAGTCCTTACCACTAGACCACCAGATTCATGGTGACTCCTGTGCTCCTGTGTGTGTCAGGGAGGAACTTTCTTCTCTTTATTGTTTTTAGTGGCCAATTCTTTTTTGGAGGTAGATAGCTTAGTTTTTCTTCTGAAACATCTTTAGATTGATTTGAACCTTTGGCCTTTCAGTTAGCAGTTAAGTACAATTTATACCACCCAGAGACTCCCTCAATTATTAGTTCACTCCATTTTTTTTTGTCCTAGTCTCTAAACTTATTCTCTTTACCATAAGAAGTAACGGTATCTTTCGGTTATTCACTCATAACTTAAAGGGTAAATAATCACAATTATGATGCTACCACTAATTGGATATGCTGTATAAGGAATTCAACAGTACATTAAATCATGCTCAGAGAACCGACAATAGCAATGGAGAGCTCCTATTTGTTTATAAATATATCCTCAGCAAAAGGGGGGAGGAATATTTCTACCATGGAATCTCTCAACAGTTGGCATAAGAATACATACACATGACATGGTTAGGGTTATGATTTTTCTCATTGAAATGATAATTTGAGACTTAGTGATTCTTTTCCAAAACATTTTTCTGATCCACCGTAGAGGAGTCTCATGCTTAATCAGCAACATAGTTCTAACCATTATTTAACATGTTATCACACAGGCAGAAAAGAAAAAGATTGTGACTAAAAACGTAATCACATAGGTCAATATGACTAAACAGCACTCCCTTCCTGATCTGAACAAGTCAGAGTTGCAAAATCAGTGTCATAAATCAACAACCTCAGTGCAGTATGCCTGATGCAGTTCTATTACCAATTGGAAGAAGCCAACGTGGACTCCATCATCTTTCTTCTCATCCTGTAACCTGAGAAGATAAAAAATGAGGTATTTAAGGACAGTCCTTTCTAGAACAATGTGTTTTCCCTAGGAAGTTATTTTGTGAGTCATTCTTTAGCACAGAAGAAAATTCCCACTGATTTAGGTGTAGGCTCAATTGTAGAATTCTTATCTTTCATGAAGAAGTCAAGGGTTTATTTCTCAGGTAATAATACAGCTAATGTACAACTGCCACTTACTTCTCGTTGAATTTTGTGTGTTGAGATAGATCACACTGAACAGGTTTCAGATGAGCTTCCAGATAAAGGCAGACTAGGAATAAATGCCTTGTGATCTACATGAAAATCAACCCATGAAAATTCCATAGAATACAATGGTCAGATCCACAAGCAATCATGGGAATGGCACACGATGAAGAATTGTTTGTGTTCCATTGTGCAAGGGCTGATCGGGTGGCCAGGTGACCAGACTGGTGAGATTATCATTTATCTCATGTTCAATAAAGGTGAAACTTTCTTAGTGAAAATGACAAACAAGTTGTACTTCCAATGTACTAACAAATAACTGTCTGACCTCAGCCAAGACTTTTGATCTGTTTATTCCTAAATTTCCTTGTGGATAAATTGAAGAGGTTAAACATGCTGACCTTTACACTTCCTTCCAGCATTTAAAAATTTTACAGCTACATGAAGTGGTCTTGATACTAAGAATACTTGAACAAATTCCCATACTTCTGATAAAATTCTATTTCTTTGATATTTCTTGTTCATTCCATTTCCCAGAAGGCCCTGTGTAATCCTTCCTTAACCTGTTCAACTCCTCCAGAGAACTTCACTTCACATGAGTCACTCTGTCTGTGGACACACCCTGGACCAACCATCACCAGGAACTTCATTGATTGATACTCTGGGACTGCCTATGTATTGCATGTTCTCATTCCTTTTTACTTCTGCACCTATTTGTCTTCCTTGAGACCTACAGTTTCTATACCTTTTCATTTACAAACAGTTACCAAGATTTTTTTTTTCTTCTTTACCCTTCCCAGTGTTCACCAATTTGGAACACACTCTGTTGTCCTCAATCCCTTTCATCATATTTATCCATGGAAATTCCTTCTCTGAATTCATTCAACCATTTTCTTTCCCCTTCCCCTCTGCTTAGGCTGCTGAGTCTGATGGAAAAACCCTCACCACCCGCGAACTGATACCACACGTGCCATGTTTGTCCTCAAATGCTGCAAACTCCACTTTGAAATCAAGAGCAGAATCCTTATTAAAATGTCCAAGGCCCCCCTCAGTCTGACTCAATTAGCTCTCTTGTCTTATCTCCAACTAACTACTCTACTCCTTGTTCTCAACATTCCGTTGACCTGGCCTCTTTGCTGATCTTTATATACTTATTTATGCACTTGTTATTTCCTCCCCCACGAATGCTCCTTTTTCAGATGCCAAAGGGCTGGTTCCTTCTCTGGTTTCAAATTTTTGTGCAAAAGTCACCTTCTCACTGGAATCCTTCCAGGCTTCAAAATGTCAACACTTGTCATGTTTTATGTATTTGTTTTCTTTTTTGATTCTTTTTCAAACTTTTTATTGTTTTGGTAGAAGTTTACAGAGAAATTTGGTTTTCCATTCAAATAATTCAAAACAGTTTAGGAATGATTAATGAAAAGCAACAGATTTGCAGATTCTAAAACTAAAAAAAAATGTGGTGTTTTATTTTTTTAACTTTTTTTAAAATACAAGAAATTCTTGTTGCATTTTGATCCATGACATTCACTGCAATCCTCGTGATCTCACTTTGTCACCAGGTGACAAATGGAGCACATCCTTCTTTCCTATCTCTTCTTGCCTTCTCTGTTGTATTCCTGGGCAAATGCTGTTCTTTAATGGTGCATAGTTGGTTGTTCTAGGGATTGCCTACCTAGTTCACATTATCACTCACTCTATAGACCTGTCTATTGTTTGGTTTGAGCTCTGTGAGCCTAGTCTTTAGGGAGTTGCCCTGTTAAACAAAAGGTCTTACTTCTGGTGGTTTGAATTCACCAGTGGCTCCACAGGAGAAAAGTGGGCAATCTCCTCCAGTGACATTCTCACAAACCCTTTAGAGAGTTAATTATGAGTAGATTCTAATTTGATAGCAAGGAGTTTTGAGTCTGAGTTTAATTATTTGCCTGAAAGTTGCCCATGGGAGTATCTTAAAGAGTTGAGTGCTACAGTCTCAAGAGTTCCACCTGTCTGTCAAACTCCTAAGCCTGGCATGATTCTGATTTGAGTTCTGTGTTTTACTCCCAGTTTATTCAGGAAGCTACAGAGTGTTTTCTTTCTGAGTAGTTAGCAGCAGTAGCTGGGCACCACGTAGTTCTAGTCTTGGGACTGCGGTGGTTGGAGTCCATGGGGTCCGTTAGTCTTTAGGACTGAATGTTTCCATGTGTATTTTGTTGCTGTCCCTTTTTTCTCTTATCAGGCAGAGACCAGTAGTTGCACCTTATTTGGCCTCTCACAAGCTGTTAAGATGCTGGTTGCTTCTTATCAAAATGGGTTGTAGAATATTATCTTTGTGTACTATGCTAACTGACTTTGATGTAGCCCAAGACTAAAGTTCTGAATCTCTAGACCCATATTACCAAGCTATTTGATTATGACTGAGAAGTTTTAGAACTTTGTCTTTGTTTGCTCTATTATATTCTTAGATTTGTTCACAGCACATATAAAAATATCATGTCTCTGTTTTCATGTTTAGTTTTGCTTCTTAGAAGAAAGCTTGTAAATCTACTTCTATAACATTATAGCCATTGAAAACTGTGTAAATTCCATTCCCTTTTGAAAGACAAGGCAACTTTGGATACTTAGTCAGTGCTACCACTCCAAAGGTGGACAGTTTGAACCCACCAGCTTCTCTGAGGGAGAGAGATAAACAATCACTTCCCGTGCAATTTACAGACTCTGAAAATTTGCTGGAAAATCAACTCTGAGTCAGTTTTTACTCAACAGCAGTGAGTTAGACTACTGGAGAATTTTTTTAATTAACTTTGGAATACATGGGATCAATATGTGTAGAAATCAACTCAGTGGAAAATAACTTTATCATAACTTGTTACCATTGACCAGATTACAACCCTTACGACCCTATAGGACAGAGTAGAACTGTCCCAGAGGATTTGCAAGACTGTAAATATTTTGGCATCAGATTTCCATATCTTTCTATTTCATAAATGGGTTTGACCCATTCACATTGTAGTTGAGTGCCTAAACACTACAGCAGTAGGGATGTTGGGTTTACCATACTGTAAAAATAAAAAAAGTTCACTTATGGTGCTTCTTAAGTCTCTTTTATTAAAGTGTACGCTCCTCTGGGGCAAACATTTCTTGCCTATTTTGTACTCTTCTATAGCCTCAATACCTATAATAGCATCTGGCACCTAGTAGGTAGGCACACATTAATTGAATGAATAAATTAATAAACTTAAAACTCTTCACATGACTTCATTACAGATTCCTCTCATTACCTTTAACAACTCAACTTTGTCATACCTGTACAATGATCATCTCATTCTGTGTTACTTTATCTACCAGGAGATAGATTCATCAAAGGAGCTCACGCACTTTACTTCCTACTCATCCTCTTCTTGTCATTCATCTGCATCCACACCCATTTTCATCTTTCCCTTCTAAGCTCCGGCTGACCTACCACACCTACTCCAAAACTAGCCTCACCACACCTAGCTCCTCCCTCTTCCATGAACTATTTACAATTTTATAAATATCTTCAACCTCTCCCTTACTGCCACCTCCATTTCTGAAATTCGCTTGGTACCTCCCTCTCTCTTCTGAATTAGATCCCATTTAAGCCTGACCTCATGCCAACATGTAATTAACAGGCATTTGTTTTACATCAGAAGCAAAACTAAGAAATGAAGCTCTTAAATAAAAGAGTTAATAATCTATTGTTTAAGATATTTTACCTTTTTAAAAGTTAATAATCACTAAGTTAAAAAATTAATAATAATAATACAGTCATTTTCTTGTTCTTGTGAACCATCGAGCCAGAACCGACCCATAACTAACCCTTCAATGGATTTTCAGAGGCAGTAAATCACATGGGAGGAGATTGCCTAATTTTCTCCCATGGAGCACCTGGTGGATTCAAACGATATATCTTTGGGCTGGCAGTGCAAAGAAAGACTCATCAACAACCTGCATTATGCAGCTGACACAGTCTTGCTTACTGAAAGTGAGGAGGACCTGAAACGTTTGCTGCAGAAGATTGCCTTCAGTGTGGATTGAATCTCAACATCAAGAAAACTAAAGTTCTTACTACTGGGCCAATAGGCAACATCATAGTAGACAAAGAAAGGATTAAAATTTGTTTTTATTGATATTTTAACAAAAGTTTACAGAAAACTTGGATTTCCATTTATTGATTGATGTACATAATAATAATGTCCTCTGGGGTCATCCATTTTGTATAATATTTCATGGGTTCCTTGTTTTCCAGTGTTGCATAGTATTCCATTGTGTGAATATACCACAGCTTCTCTATACATTCATTTGTTGATGGGCACTTCAGTTGTATCCTTCTTTTTGCTATTATGAACAAAGCAGCAAAAAACATGAGTGTGCATGTATCTGCTTTGGTGGCAGTTATGGTTACTTTAGGGTATATTCCCAGTAGTGCAATTGCTGGGTCAAATGTATTTCTATTTCTAACTTCTTGAGAATGTGCCATACTGCCTTAAAGAGTAGTTGCACCATTTTACACTCCCACCAACAGTGAATAAGGGTTCTGATTGCTCACAACTTTGCCAGCATTTGTTGTTTGCTGCTCTGTTAAACTTTGCTGTTGTTACTGGGGTGAGATAATATCTCATAGTTGTTTTGATTTGCATCTCTCTTAGAGCTAGGGATTTTGAACATTTCTTCATATGTTTTTGTTCACCATCCAAATGTTTTCTTTGGCAAAGTATCTGTTCATATCCTGTGCCCATTTTGCAGTTGGGCTGTTTACCTTTATCTTGTTGTGGTGCTCAAGTATTCTATAAATTCTAGATATAAGTTCCTTATCAGACATGTAATTACCAAATATTTTCCCCAGTCTATGGCTTTACTTTTAACCCTGTTGGAAATTTTTTTGATGTGCATAGGGATTTGATTCTTAGAAGATCCCATTCATCTGTTTCGTTCTCTCCTAGTTGTAGGTTTTTCAGGATTCTTGGGAACTATTTATGTTGTAGATTACAGCTTCTAGAGTTGTCCTAAATTTTTCTCTGATGACGTTTATCATCCTTGGTTTTAGTCCTAGGTCCTTGATCCACTTTGGGTTAGATTTTGTGTATGGTGTGCGGTGTGGGTCTTGCTTGAGTTTTCTACAGATAGTTTTCCAATTTTGCCAACACCATTTGTTAAAGAGGATTTTGTTTCCCCACTTAACTGATTTAATCTTCTTGTCAAAAATCACTTGGCCATAGGTAGATGAGCTGATTTCTGGATTCTCGATTCTATTCCATTGATCTATGTGTCTGTCACTGTACTGGTACCACACTGTCTAGACCACCCATGGCTGTGTAGTAGCATTTGAGATCAGAGAGTGAGATGCTTCCTACTTTGTTCCCCTTTCCCAGGAGTGCTTTGTCTATTCGGGATCTCTTTCCATTCCAGATGAAATTGGAAATTGCCTTTTCCATCTCATTGAAGAATGGATTTGGGATTGCAATGAATTTGTAAATTGCCTTTGATAGTATTGTCATTTACACAGTATTGAGTCTTCCTATCTAAGAGCATGGTATATTCTTCCATTTCTCCAGGTCTCTTTTTGTTTCTTATAGTAATATTTTGTAATTTTCTTTGACTAGGTCTTTTGTGTTTCTAGTTACATTTACTCCCAAATATTTAATCTTGTAATTAGCTATTGTGATGGGTATTGTTTTTCTTAGCTGCAGTTCTGTATTCTCTCTGTCACTGTAGAGAAATCCAACTGATTTTTGTATATTGATCTTACTTGGATCCATAATCAACATCCTTGGTATTAGCAGTCAGATGATCAGGAGACATATTGCTTTGGACAAGTGCACTCTTAGGAACCTCTCCAAAATACTGGAGAGCAATGATATCAGTTTGAAGACTAAGGTGTACCTGAATCAGTCCATTGTCTTTTCAAATACTTGCTATGTTTCTGAGAACTGGACAATGAATAAAGATAACAGAAGAATAATTGATATTTTTGAGTTTTGGTTTTGGAAAAGAGTACTGAATAGCCCATGAAATGCCAAAAGAATGCACAGCTATGTCTTTGAAAGGGTGTGATTAGATTGCCCCTTGGAAGCTTAGACATGCTGCTGAGAGAGGCCATTCTTTGCAAAGGCATATCGTGCTTGGGAAGGTGGAGGGTTGGTGAAAGACAGGAATACCTTCAATGAGCTGGACTGACACAGTGACTGCAGCAATAAGTTCAAGTGTGTCAGAGATGATGAGGATGGCAAAGGATAGGACAGAATTCAAGTCTGTTGTTCATAGGGTCTCTACAAATCATGCTTGACTAAATGGTACTTAGAAACCACAAGTCATCAAAGTTATTCCAATAAGTGATAATTAATAATTTGATTAATTAATTAAAGATCAACTGCATTAGGAAAATCTTCTGTCAGGGACGCCTCAGAGTGCTGAAGAGCAATGAAGTCAGTCTAGAGACTAACGTGCTCCTGATCCTAGCCATGATTTTTGCAATTGTTTGCTATGCGTCAGAGAGCTGGACAATGAGTAAGGATGACAGAAGAATAATTGATGTTTTCGAGTTGTGGTGCTGGAGAAGAGTCTTGAACATATCATGGACAGCCAAGAGAGAAAATAAGCCTGCCTTAGAGACGATGAAGCCAAGTTGCCCTTTGAAGGCAAGGATTTTGAAGCTCTCTCTCACATACTTTGGAATGTTTTCTAGAAGGCCCAGTCCTTGAAGAAGGACATCATGTTTGGAAGAGTGGAGGAATAACGCAGAAGAAGAAGACCGTGGACGAGCAAAATTGACACGGTGACTAGTACAATGGGGCAGTTTTATCCGAGACAGTAAGATTGGCTCAGGACAGAGCAAGGTACAGAGAGCTATTGTGCATAGGGCAGCTATAAATCACAGATGACTTGACAGCATATAACAACAACCATTTTCTAAGGATATTATATAGTTATTCTATAAAATATGCTTGCATTGTTAAAATATTCAACTACTTACCTTGCTTTCTTATTGTTGTTATCTGTCAGAATAGAAACAATTCATAAAGTAGTTAGTAATAACAAAATGCAAGATAGTCATTATTAGTTATGCTTTCTCCAAAAACAGTCTTATAAGAAATGTTTATTTATGAAATGCTACAACATGGTTATTTGCTTTTTCCTGTCTTTTGGTGTTTCTGTCTTTCTCCATAGTATAGAAGGCACACTTTTGGGCCAGGACGGCTTCCTCAACTATGTTTCTTAACTACTCTAACATGTGAAATATTTGTACCTTCTAAATATAAAATGAAGACCAATATTTCCAACTTAGTCAAGAAATCTGATTTTTCATAACCACAAATATTCATTGCTTTGTTTTTTATAAACTTCAGTATTTACCTATTTAAAATGTAGACCAAAAATATCATTGACTAGGCAAAAATATCTACTTGTCACTTCCATACTAGTTGCTGTGCACTGCAGGGTTGGAACTGACTCATAGCTGACCCTCCAACAGGTTAAGAGGCATTACAGTGCATAGAAATTGCTTGCCCATCATTCTTCCATGGAGAAGCTGGTGGATTCAAATGACATACTTTTGCATTGGCAGTGTAATTCCCTACCACTAAGCCACCAGAACCCCATAAACAGTAGAAACTACAAAATTTAACAATATATTGTCAATGCTCGTGCAGGTTACAGTAGAGTTAGAGGCAGAAGGTAGAAGTAAAGGTTGAGGGTTATGAGTATAAGGAATTTACGGAGGGCAGATCCCCTTAAGATGCTTACATCATCCATCATCACTGGTAAATCTTGATTCCTCTGGCATTTAAACTTACAACATGAGGTAAGAGTAAAGAAGCATTACACTATAGATCGAGTCCTTGATTTGTATAGTTAGCATATCTGGCTGCTAACCAAAAGTTGATGGTTAAGTCCACCAATTAGGAAGAAAGGCTTAGTGATCAACTTCCAGAAAACTCTATGGACTCAGTTCTATTACGACACAGATGGGGTCACCTGGGGTCAGAATTAACTTAATGACAACTGATTTTATATAGGGCAGATAGACGTTAATTAACTTAGGAATCGGATTGGATTCAAATTATGACTTCATTATTAGATATCTGATTTTCATTAACTTTTTTCTTTTTATTTTAACCTATCTGAATTTCTTTTATTTGTAAAGTGGTGTTTGTTGCTGTTTTTGTTGTAATCATATTGCTTATTTGTAACCATGTTGTTGTTTCTGTTAGATGCCATCATAAAAATGAGAATTTAGAATCATCTGTATTTACTACATGCTAAGTACTTGAATGTAACTCACTGTCTTTAAGTCAGTTACAATTTATAGTGACCCTTCACCAGGTTTATGAAGCTATCAATTGCAATAGGAGGAGACAGACCATCTTTTCTCCCCAACAGGCCCTGATGGATTTGAACCACTAGAGAAACACGGACTTCGGGTTAGCTGTGAACACACCACCAGACCCTCAGCCAATTGGCCTTGTTGTCAGGTACTGTCAAGTCAACTATGACTCAGCAACCCTATGAAAAACAGATCAAAACCTTGCTCTATCGTGTGCCAATTAGTAATGCCATTTATCTCATTCCAGGCTACAGAACTTGGCGTAGTTCCTCTTGGGAGCTATGACTCATAAAAAATTGTGCTGTCACCAAGGTCAGAAACCACAACCTATGACTCAAGTTAATGCTACTAGCCAGTGCTGAAACAACCTGATTCCACACAGGAAAAGGATGTATATAGGCCTCACTTCAGTTTTTACTCACCCACCTTTGTGCATTATCTAGTACTTTCAAGTATTCCATCACATGAATTCTCAGGAGAACAACAGAGTGTGTATAAAAATCACGTCTATATTGATGCTTAAAATACAAAACCTTACTGACTCATTCTACGTCTGTTCTCACTTCTCTTTGCATAAGATCCAAAGAACAGAACCACTTACATGACCCATCTGACTCAAAAGCATGGTTGTCCTCTCCAAATTTCTTTATACTCTGAAGAACCACTGAGTCAGACATAATAATTGTAATTTGTAGCGTCAACCTGCAAAACAACAATAACAAAAAAACATTGTCATTCTTGCTTTTCCTCTTTTTTAAGCAAACTACACCAAAAAGGGAACAATCTGGTTCAAGAAATAGCCTTCATCAACTGAGTTCAGATAAAAGTGGATTTTTAATTGGTTCATTAGTTGTTGTTGGCCTGGTTCAAACTGTTTTTTTGTCAAACATTCTTCTAGGTGATATAGCACTGGTCTGTGCATTGCTGTACAGAGGTAACTCATGGTTGCTGTGATGCTAACCACTGTGACACTGATGTGTCAAATGCGATAATGGTTACCCATGGTGGACAGTGTTTGGTGGAGCTTCCCGATTAAACAGGCTTGGAAGCAGGAGTGGCATCCACTTACAAAATGGCTTGCCTCTGGAAACTCTATGAACAGTGCTTAGGCCTTTCGTTCATAGGGTCGCTATGAGTCATCTACAACATGACGACACCTAACAACAACAACAACAATTAGTTTTGTTGTTGTTAAGTGTTGTAGAGTCATAGACAACCCATAGCGACCCTATAAAGTCTTGAAAACAGTCCATGAAATACTCTAGTTTTTTTTAAAAAGGAAAAATTTCAATCACCAATACTGGTTTTCTCTGGTTGTTGGAAGGATGTTTTCTATTATGCTTTTTGCTTATCAGTGTGTTGGTTTTTTTTTTCTTATCAGTGTTTTAATGCTTACATCTTTATTGAACAAAGATAAAATAATGAGATGTGTATAATCAGCCAATGACTGTCTTAGGTCAATGTACCTGAGATGTGGACTCCAACAACACCGAAATACTGATGTCCATCTCCAGTGTTCTATTTGAAGTGCAAACCCAGCGTCCGGGATAGAAGTTCAGTTATAAATCAAGTACAAATGTCTTTTATGTTTAGTCATTTTAACAGTGGAAAAAGCAGTCTGTTAAGAGTGTAAGAATGGAGTTCTAACAGAGTTTATGTTCATTTTTTTGTTTGCTCAAAACACACAATTAAAGATATAGTTGAAAGATTATAGATTGATAGAGAGAGAGAGAGATTTTCATATATAAGACTTAACGGCAAGACACTGTGCTGCAATCTCAAAGGCAAAGAGTTTGAGGCCACCAGCTGCTCTGCAGGAGAAGGATAGGCAATCTCCTTTCATGCGTGTCTCTGAAAACCCATCAAAGGGTCAACTAGGTTCAGTTCTCTCTCTACGGTATACAACAACAATATACATATAGTTGCTGATTAACTGGGAGAGTGAGCCCAGCCAACTTTGAGTCCATATGTTCTATGTGGGTAAAAAATTAACTTGGTTAATCATGTATTAGAGATCGATTCTCTGGTCAATAATTTTATTATACCTTTAAAAACAACCAATGCTATTTTTTTCCCTTTGGCGATTAAGTACAATTAGAACACTCTTTGATAGAATCTTTGTTGTTAGATGCTGTCAAGTAGATGAGCCTGTGTTCAACAAAGCAAAACACTGCCCAGTACTGTGTATACTTGCAATTATTGCTGTTGTTTCAACCACTGTGTCAGTCTCTCTTTCTTTTTTTGTTTCACTAACCCTCCGCTATGAGTCGCAAACGACTCGATGGCACATAATAACGACAACAACAACCCTCTGCTTTACAAAGCATGAGGTCTTTCTCCAGGGTCTGATCTGTCCTGGTAACATGTCTAAATATAAGAGACGAAGTCTCCCATCCTTATGTATAAGAAGCATTCTGGCGGTACTTGTTCCAGCAGAATTTCTGAGTAATGTAAACTTTTGTACTTTAATCAGTACCTTACAGAGTAGCTCCTTAGCAGAATCATTATTCATTTTAATACTATCTGTGTTACTTTAGTGAGGTAGTAGAGCACTAACACATACTGTGTGTTTGTTTTATCTATATACAGGGGATTTTTCTGAAGAAAGCCATGTTATCTTGTTCATTAGCACTATTATGCAAACAAGTTGCTGGGTAACAATTTGACTCCATGGGAGAAGCCTTGCAATAATACTACATTCATTGCATAAGTAAGATCTAGCTATCCAGTGAAGGCTGAAGAAAAAGTGTGTTAATTTATAAAACTGACATTCTGTGAAGCAGAACATTATTTTTTTCCTATAGTTGAAATATATTGGAAAAATAATTGAGAAAATGTACCATGAACCTAATTTAAGGAGATTTTTAATATCTCATTTGCAAAAGGACCATCTTTTGTTTAAGCATCTGTTGGAATAATTTCCTCTGCCATCATCTTATTTATTAATTAGGTATACTCCTGTACAACTGTCATTTGAATTATGTGGATTTTAAATTAGATTTTTATTTAAGCGCCAGCCC